CATTTGTTTTATGCAGGCATTGCATTACTGATGCCTATAAAAGGCAGCACCATTCGGCAGAGGAGCTCGGGCAGAGAGGGCAGAGAGCCTTCTAGTTCATATTTGTTCTATAAATTTGTATAATTAATTTTGAGTAGCTAAATATTTTATTAAGGTGAAGAGTGAAATCATAACAAGTGTTTGATGTTTGTCAATTAATTTTTTTATGGTTTTAATGTAAGATTTTATTTTATTTAAATGGTTATTTTATTTATAAAAGTATTTTATTCTATATAATTTTTTTGATTTATCATTAATTTCGGATACAGTGAATGCTTAGAATTTCCTGTGAATTAAATTACTCTTTTTTGACATGTTAAACCAATGAAGTTTTTAAAAAATCATGCTATGGGATATATTTTTCATAAACTAAAAATTGTTAAACTTTCTGATTGGATTCAACTTTCATATAAATCTCAATTGAGTTATAAAATTAAATTCTTTTGAAAACACCATTTAACTTGTTGTGAGTAAATCTTGGAACCTTATCCTCATTAAATTTTTTAAAAACAACCGCATTGAATTTTATGTGACCAATTTAAATTCCGCATCAAATTAAAATTTCATAAACTCTGTAGAGTTTGGTGATAATGTTAGAACAATCTTCTGTGTAAAATAAATAATGCGAAACAAAATCAAACAAATAAAAATAAATTACTTACAAAATTTATTTATTGAAACAACTTAACAATAAAACAATCAAGTTGAGTGTGTGACACTTTGTCCTTAAGACATATTCGCCCCCTCCGGTACTTACGGATAAATGGCGTCTATCTCCCATGATACAATGATCTACACAAATTATAGTAGCACTCCGAACAATTTGTACGTCGAACTAGAACCTGTGTTCTATACTCTTAAATATTTCTCTAAAACTAGGATGAAGAATAAAAATGCAAGAGTACAAAAACAGGAAATGAATGAATTTTCTAGATGTTTTTGATTGTCAAAATCTGCTGGAATGAGACTTCTATTTATAGGCAAACTTGTGACAGTTGGACAGATCCGAACATGTGTGATTTTCAAACTGAACAGATACAAAACAGTTTTAGACCTATTGGAAATTGCTGGGTAGTTTTAAACCTGTCTGAAACTGCCCGAAACTGCTGGGTAGTTTTCAAATTGTTTAGAACAATTTGAACCTGTTGAACCTGCAGAAAAATGGACTGAAAAAGGGCAGTGTTTGGACAGAAAAATTTGACTCAAAATTTAAATAAATTTCATTTAGAAATTCAAATAATTTTTCCGCAAGAATTTGAAAAAATTCAAATAAATTTTGTCCAAAAAATTAATTTTAGGACCGATCCGACCCTAGCATGGCAGGTCGGCAGCGCACGCGTGTGGTGGTTTGAGCCAAAGATCACTTTATCCATAACTTCTCCCTTCTACAAACTTGGGCTGCCCCTTGGGATCCAACCCAAGTGTTGCCATCTAGAACTTATATACACAGATAAGTTATATTAAGTTTCCAATGTTGTATATCAATTTCAAGGAAACTCGTATTTTATTTCTTGAATTGTCCATTCCACGAACTCGAAAACGACATCAACTTCCCATTCACTCATAAATGATTTTGACGAACTGTGTTTACCATGTGACTTGCCATGCGATAAGGAATACGTCACCTCTTTGGACCCACCCCAAAAGACATGTGAGACGCACTCAAAATTGGACTCAAAATTAGCCCAAAATAAGCCTATAAAATCATATCTTTTCAACAGATAAATCCCTGTGAAAATGACTTTGGGACTTCAAAAAATTATTATGCTTGACGATGACATTTTCCTACGTTTGAAACCCAATTGCAGTGAACAATAAAAACTGACAAGCAATTATTGCGAGAAAAAAGTGTGTGCCACAGTAGGAAAAAAGACACTAGCTTTTTTATTATCATTCTTTTTAGAAGAAAAGTAAGCTAAGAACCAATTTTTTTTTTTTAAATCGTACAGAAAAGTAGAAAGATGATGTGACAAAAAAAAGTTAAAAAACTAATTTTTAACCCAGATGCCAAAATAAGCCTTCTGTGAAACATGCCACGTGTCACAACAATTGGGTTTTTGTTAAGTGTTATAGTGCGAAAAAAGGTGTCACAGTAGAAAAGAATACAACCGTCTAACAAAAATTACCAAACAACCAGACTTATTAGGGCAATAGAAAAAATATGAACTGATTGAAATAACTGTTCTTGAGATGGAACTTTATGTTATTTTCCTTAAAAAAAAAATAAAAGAAAAAGAGTGGAGTGCAACTTTTTTTAATGAAAAAATTTACAAGAAAAATTGCATGGGTAATTATTTTTGGTTGTATGTCATGAACAGTAATTTCTCCTTTTTAAAAATAGTTGTTTGAATTTTAAATTTGTATGCATTTTTATTTTTAATAAATTCTTTTAATATTTTTATTTTTTTACTTTTTAAATTTAATTAATTTATATATATTTTAAAAATTAAAATATTTATAAAAAGGAATCTAAAAACAATTTAATAAATACAAAAAATTACGAAAATGTATTAAAATTTAAAATTTTTTTTCTTATTTAGTGAATTTTTTTTTAAAAAATTATTAAAAAATTTTCATAAAAAAATATTTTTTATCCAGTGATTTTAAATTTGAATCAATAATTTCAATAGAAAAATAAAACAAAAATAATTTTAATCATTCTAATTTAAAGAGTAAGGTTAGAGATCCCAAAAATTCTACCAAATATTTTACATAAATGTAAAACTCACACAATGTAAATCTGATATAAATCTCACACTTATATAAAATATTTTAATAAAATTTTTAAAATTTTTAATATTTTCGAAATTTAAAACCCTCACTTGAGTTGAGGACCATGAGTTTATGCCACCGTTTGGGAAGAGAAGTTTGGGCTAAATTAGTCACTACAGTTCAAAAAAGGCTAATTTAGCTATTATCAGACAAAACCACACCAAAAGGCCTTCACGGGGAGCATCTATTTACACACACCTCTCTCTATACACATCTTCCACACACAATTCTCCAACATATTCTCTCATTAAGTGTGTGAGAAAAGAGGATATGGTGTGTGCAAATAGAACCTCCCGCCTTCACGTGGTTACACCCAACCCAGGCCAGGGTAATTTTACCAAACTACCCCCTCCCACTATGCTTCACACCAGCACCGCCTCACCACACACATACACACAACACTGAAATTTTGTAGGGCACACAGAGGCACGCTGAAGCAGAGGAGAATCGCTGACGTTGAACGGCAAAAAGACATCTCGCGAAGCTTGCCAAAGCCGATCGCTACCGGAGTACACATCTGCTCTGTCGAAGAAGACTCGCGAAGCTTATGAGAGGCGAACGCCACCGGACTGCACATCTGCGGCGTCGAACACGATCGCATCGTCTACAAAACCCACTGATCGTTAGGTACTGAACGGTTTCTGTTTTGTTTTTGTTTTTTTTTTTTGTGCGTAAATCCATCTAAACTAACTTGATCTGGTCGGTTTATCCGTCAAACCCATTGTTGTGGGTGATTACAAATTTTCCTCTTTTTGTCTTTTTTTTGTTTGGCATGTGGGATGGAAGCTAATGGTCTGTCATGGAAATTACGCCCAAAACCTCCCTCTTTTTTCTTTTTTTTTAACTACAAATTCTGCTAATCAATGGAGATTATGCTTCTGATAATTTTTTTTTTGTGTGAAACTGAGGTTCATGTTTTTTTATTTTGTTTTTTTTCGTGAAACTCAAGATTATATATATATTTTTTTGAATTCAGTTTTTTTTTTTTCACAACTGAGGTTCTGTAAATTTTTTTTTGTTTTTTTGGGTTTTTTCGATTTTTTCAATTTTTGTATGCGTGTGTGTGTGGTTAAACTGAGGTTCTGATAACACATGTTCAAAATTTCTGAAATTGGGCAAGTGAGGTTTATGTTTTTTGGTTTTTTTTGCGGTAAAATCTCCTAACCCTGTTTCCATCTTCCCATGTTGATGAAACGATGACAACAGAGTCCATTAGCCCTTTAAACATGAAGGAACAAGAAAAAGGAACAACACTGATGAATGTATTTTTTTTGTTACGATTAACCCTTTTAACCCAGTGGAACACCAGAATTCATACGATTAATTTGTTTCCTGAATAACACAGAGAATTTAAATAAAATTTATTTTTCCCCAAAATATTTATTTTGGCCAAAATTAATTTGTTTCCTGAATTGTAAGGAACAACATGAACTAATTTTATGTTTGCCCATATGAATTCATACGATTTTGTTAAGTTCATTCTCTGGTCCATGGAAATGTTGGGTTAAGTTCTCGATTGTTAATTTTGTGAAATTTATAGTTTTTCTGTTAACTACTGTCATGGTTTGGATTAGCGTAATTCTCTTGCAAATGCTGGGTTAGGGTTTTTATTACATATTGCTCTTGGAACGTTTGGATTACGTTTTTTCTGACTCTGCTCCATAGCAATGTTGGCTTAGCTTTTCGATTGTGAAATTTGTATTTATGTAAACTGTCATGGTTTCTATACGGGTTTTAACTTATGTGACATTTCTATTTTGTGAAATAATTTTTTTTACAAGCTCACAATTAACAGGACAAATCAATGCATGTTGATGGTTTTTGTAAATCTCAATTGTAAAGGAAGAGCAACAATACACCTTTGATTTAACAAATGGAATTTAATAGAGACTTTAGAGAATTCGACACATGGATTTAACACATGGAATTTAGTTGCAAATATGTTATTTGCGAGAATTTGCCAATGACAATTCATGTTGAGGGTGTTTGTAAATGTCAATTCATGTTATTTGTAAAATAGAGAATGTCATTTTTTTTTTTGTAAAATAAAGAATTTGACAAAGTGGGTGTTTGGGAAGTGTGTTTTTTTGTAGGTTTTTTTAGTTGTAGGATATTATTGGAGAATTTTTTTTTTTTGTGTTTGGGATGATAGTTAGTTTTTTTGTGGTTGGATGTGATGTTTGTGAAAGAAAAAGTGAAATGATTATAGGGTTTGATGTGATATTTTGTTTGGATTTGTTTTTTTTTGGTTTTGTAAAACATTTGTCATGTAGTGAAAAAAAAATTCCAAAAACCAAGTTCCCAAACACCCCCAAAGTCAATTCATGTTATCTTGCTTAATTGAGAATTGCTACCACATGGATTTATTTTCTAAAATAGAGGAAATAATTCATGCTAAGGGTTTTTATAAATCTGAATTTGTATCTTTCTTTCAAAGGATAGAATAAATTTAATATGAATTGTACATTACTTCAAAATTGGAAATGGAGACACATGATTATTTATTTTATTTGGTTTTATAGCAAAATTCTGAAATGCTACATTTGGAGATATTTGTAATTGACAACTTACATTTTGCCAATTGTAAAAGCCCATTTTTAAATAACAATTTGGGGACGTTCCTCAATTTTCAACAATATGTCAATTTCCTGAACTATGACTAATGTGCCACCTACATGTTACCATTAGTCTTTCACCTAGTCAGCAAACTTAGCATGGCTTCGTTTACTTTTATTGCAACTTCCAGTACATGGCTATGTCGGATGTGTGTGTGTGGCTATGGCCACTGTATTGTTAAGATATCCAAGTCGACCAAAAATCCAAGGTGTCCTTACTTTGCATGTCCTCTCTCTGGGATGAGTGCCCAATTCATTAATGGTCATAACTGCATTTCATGCTGAACCAATTGACTAACACGTGTCATTTTCACTCGTCAACCCTATGTCAATTGGATTGGTTGGTGCAAAGGACCAAGGAGACAGAGCACAGATTTTGCCTCATCCAGTACTGACATTGTCATGCATTTGCGGGATGATGTCATACACATTCAACAGTCATTGCGTCTCCTTAAAACAGTTGTTTCTGTGCTATGTATTGTGGTTGTCATTATGTTGTTGCGTATGTAAGGAAACTTAAAATGTTCTTAGGAAACTTAAGAGCGACGGCTAACTTTGTCTTGCTTTAACTGACTAGTTTGGGGGACACATTAATGATTACTTGTATTTACTATTTGTCTTCCACTATTAAAATTCGTACTTTTATGTCCATTTTTATGTGATTGTAATGTTATGTTAATTAATGTGCAATGGTTATATACTGTTCAATTTAGCATCCACTTTCTATGTTTATTGTGCAATGGCCATAAATTGTTATTATGCCAACCAATTTAAATTCTTCTGCTATGGTCTGATGTTACTGGATGTAATAACAACCAAGATGGTCATGGTGATAATTTTGTCCCGTAAATTAGTTACCTTGCGTGGTCCAAATGGCTTTCATACGTACTTTACCTTGTACCCAAGCGAAAAACAAAGGCATATCTCTGGAGAAGTCAAGCAGTGTGGAAGAGACACAAAAGCAGTTTAACCACAAGGCTTCCTAGGACAGTGACTCTATCCGAATTTTCCTGCAGCTGATCGCCAATGAAATTACAAAAGGAAATTGGTCTTTCTTAGCCCTAAGCCAATCTAGGTACAGGTCGTTGGCGAGGAAATTTGACAAAAAAACTGGAAGACAACATGGCCTTAAGCAGTTGAAGAATAAATACATGAGTCTGAAAAAAGAATAGAATGCTTGGAGAAAGTTGATGGATTCTAGCCGAGGAGTGTCAGGAATTGGCTTTGACAGCGAGACTGGTATATTCCAAGCGTCTAATGAGTAGTGGGATAAGATGGAATCGGTAAGTACAATATAATTTTCGTATGTTTGTTTCGTTTCATAGTTTCCTCTTACCAATCACTTTTTTCCGTATTTGTTGTTCGTAAACATTTGACCTGTTGCATGTACTAAACGGTTTTTGTTTTCAATGTCAAATTTTGCAGACAAACAAGGCCTGCACGAAGTTTAGGAAAAAAACACTAGAACATCGCGAGTTGATGGAGACGGTCTTTACAAGGGCATCAGCTACTGGTAAGCACCATTGGACCTCGGGAGAGAAAGTTGATGAACCTGCCGACGTCTCAGCCGATTCTGTGGACAGTCTCGGTGCCTAGCCATTTGTTGATTCGATACCTGCACACGCACAGGACGTTGATTCAGATTCTTCACTCGAACCTGTGCCGACTGTTAACGACAAAAGAAAACGGACTCTGTCAACAAGTTGTGGCAAGTCGAAGAAGGCCACAAGTGAAGCGTCAGTTATTGTGGAAAGCATGAATAATCTGACAACCGTGGTGCGTACTCAGAATCAGCAAGTTACGGTCAGGCGCCTCACAGGTAACGAATCACTGTATACAATTTTGGAGTGCATGCACTGGCTGAGGAACATTCCTGCCCTTCTCGATACGTCGCTATTTCATTTTGCCTCGACATTGATGGATAAGGTAGATTATCGGGAGGTGATGATGTGCCAGGCTAATAACGACCACATTATCGGCTGGCTCACACAGAAGTAGCTGCAGTGTAGTGCGAGGGCACCGTTTGCGAACTTGTTCGGGGCTCACTGATTTGATATAGTGGTGTCATGCTAAAGATGCGTTCCCATTATCTAGCTTTCAAAAACTTTTACTTATGCTTATGTTGGACTTGTAATAAACAGGATGGTTGTGTGTGTTGTTTTTATTTTTTTATTTATTTTTTAATTTTTTGCCCTAGTTTGATGAAACAATATTTGCAGGTTATTTTCTGGTTTTCGACGATTACAGTTTCGTTTATGTGTTTTTGTGCGGATGGAACATGATGGTTGTGTTTTTATTTATTATGGGAATTACATCCGCAACGGCGGGATGTTGTGTTTTACCTGTTTATGGAGTTATTTATTTGTTTATTGGTATAAGTACTTTTTTCGTTGGTATCTCTGTGTTCATAATGCAAATGATGTTTTATTGGTTTGTGTATTACTAGTTACCACCACTTCACTGTTTGTTTATTTGGTACACTGTGAATGCAATTATACCTTATTGTTAGGCATCATACATTCCATGGTGACTCGACATAAATATTTCCTTTACCCCACTGCATCACGTGTAAATTGATTCAAACCGTCCCACTGTTGTAGGTTTCGCTTGAATCGACGTAATGAATCCCGACGATGGAAGCAACAATCAGGATTTAAGGGAAATGCTTAACCAAATGGCCATACAGCTGCAACAACAAAACAATTGGACAATTGTAGAAGCATGTTGGTATGTGCAAGAGCGGTATGAAAAACACATGTCCAAAACGCAATGTCGAACTTCAATTTTGACCGGGCATGTATGGATAACCGAACTATATACGGGCCATGTGGGTCGATTTCAGGAAAATGTGTGCATGTCGAAGGAAGTTTTTGCGACTTTGCATCACACATTAGTAACTGATTTTGGATTACAAGTACCGCAACGTCCACATGGCTTAGCTGTTGAAGAAAGCGTTGCAATGTTTATCCACGTGTTGCGTGGGTTCCAAAATCGAGAAATCCAAGAACGCTTTCAACATTCGAGCGAGACTGTGTCCCGGCACGTGCATAATGTGTTAATGCGATGAAAGAGTTCACTGTTGTACATTGCAGGCCTACATATAGTTAGCATCATATACATCCATACGTGCGGTTGAAACGAAAATACCTACCATTCAAGGTACTAGTTAAAAACCTCACTTAGTACATTTTATTGGATGTGACGTATGAAAACTAATGATTACTTGTACTCGTAGTAGTCACTTATTTTTTTGGGTTGTGTGCAAGATTGTATTGGAGCCATATACGGAACACATGTTAGTGCATGGGTTACGGGGCTAGATGCCGCAACATATTTCGGTAGAAAATAGTCACACGCAAAATATCATGGCCGCGTACGATTTTGACATGTGTTTTGTTTCACTTGGATGGAAAGAAAGTATGCATGATAGTCGCATCTTCAATGAGATAGTAACAAATGACAATGCCCCATTTCTACATCCTGAAGAAGGTAAAACAATAATTTGAAAATATTTGGGTACCTAATATATGAGAAATCTAGGGTAATTTTAAATTAAACATAATTGGGTGGTTTGTTTGAAGATATGGTACTGTCTGCAGGAAAATATTATCTTGTCAATGCTGGCTATCCGAACCGGGTAGGTTACTTAGCACCTTTCAAAGGCAGCCGTTACCACCACTAACAATTCCGTATTAGTCAAGGGAATAGGATAGCAAACAACCTTAGGGAATTATTTAACAAAGTTACTCGTCGTTATGCAGTGTAGTGAAACGGACTTTCGGTGCCTGAAAAAATCAATGGGGGTTTATTAGAGACATGCCTCGGTATGATTTTGTAAATGTGCAAGTTCAGTTAGTAGGTGCGTCAATGGCATTACATAATTATATATGTCGAAATACAGGCAATCCAACAACTGTTAATCCCCGTTTCAATGAAGAAGAGGCTATAGCTTTTGTAAATGCTATACTAGAAGTTGAACATGATGATGATGGTTTAATGGTTGGGAATGAGGACTCGCATATGCCATTGGTGTGACTTTGCATACAGGACAAGTTAGTGTACCTGCGTAATAACGGCTTTTTAGAAAATATATAAAGTTCATCTAATATTCGTAGGCTTGTAACATTGGTAAGCCATGCGGAAGAGGTTGTATGTAAGTATATTATAATGTACAATATGTATCTCTGTACACGGTAAATAAAATCGAAATTAGCATTGTCCATGTTATTTACAAAAAAGAACTGGAAAAAAGCCTTTTCGGAAAACAGGGGGAGAAAAAAAAAAAAACCCGAAATTATCATTGTCCACGTACTTTGCGAAAAAAAACATAGAAAGCCTTTCCAAAAAAAAAAAAAAAAAAACAACAACAACAACAAAAAAAACATTTATGAAACCGAAATTAGCATTTTTGTGTGTAAAAAAAAAATTAAATAAAAAAATTGAAACAAATTAATAAAATAAATAAAAAAGATTGAAACAAATTAATAAACAAAAAAAATATTTGAAACAAAACCAAGAAAAAAATTAATAAATTTTTTTTTATTAATAACGCCTTTTCCAAAACCAAGAAACAAATTAATAAAAAACTATGAAAAAAAAGGGACAAGAAAATAAAGCCATTGTGAATTCATTTTCCACATCATTTACAAAAAAGAATTGGAAAAAAGTCTTTTCGGAAAATAGGGAGAAATAAAAATAAAAATAACTAAAATTATCATTGTCCATGCCATTTGCGAAAAAAACATAAAAAGCCTTTTCGAAAAAAAAGAAAAGGAAAAAAAAAAGAGACATTAATGAAACCAAAATTAGCATTTTTGTGCGTAAAAAAATTAACTAAAAAAAATTGAAACAAATTACTAAAATAAATAAAAAGGATTGAAACAAATTAATAAACAAAAAAATATTTGAAACAAAACCAAGAAACAAATTAATAAAAAAAATAAAAAATAATTAATAACGCCTTTTCCACAATCAAGAAAAAAATTAATAAAAAACTATGAAAAAAAAAGACAAGAAAATAACGCCATTGTGAATTCATTTTCCATGTCATTTACAAAAAAAAATTGAAAAAAGCCTTTTCGAAAAACAGGAAAAAATAAAAAATTAAATAAAAAACCGAAATTATCATTGTCCATGCCATTTGTAGCCATTTGTAAAAAAAAAAAAAAACACAAAAAGCCTTTTCAAAAAAAAAAAAAAAACATTAATGAAACCGAAATTAGTATTTTTGTGAGTAAAAAAAATTAACTAAAAAAAATTGAAACAAATTAATAAAAAAAAAAAAATTGAAACAAAACCAAGAAACCAAATAATAAATAATAATAATAATAATAACAGCGCCTTTTCCAGAACGAAGAAACAAATTAATAAAAAACTCTGGAAAAAAGACAAGAAAATAACGCAATTGTAAAAAAATTTCCACATAATTTTCAAAAAAAAAAAAAAAAAAAAAAGCAGACAAAAAAATATACAAATTGAAAAAAATAAAAAAAAATTTAAAGCAAACACCAGGCCATTAGTCAGCCGTTTGGTACTTTGATTATAAGGGCATTTGAGTTATTTTACATGTGGCCACCTCATTAAAAAAAGGTTAAAAAAATAAAAAAATCTATTTTAAATCATAGTTCCAAGTTAAAAAAGTAAAAAAATTAAAAATCAACTCACTTTTCAAACGGAGACTATGACCTATTTTGACAGTAGAACAATTATACAATCCTCTAATTTTAGAGCTCTACTGATGTTCCAAAAACTAAAAAAAATAAAATAAAATAAAACTAAGGCCAAAACATAATATCGTAGTGGGATTCACTCTTATTACAACTCCTTTATTAGAGCTCTCAATCATTTTTCTTTGACAGTACGCTGTGGTGTTTAGAAAAGTCGGTAAAAAATTGACTTCTTGATTTTTTTGACAAAAAATTAAATTATTTTAGATAAAAAAAAATTAACTTTTTTTTGACTAAAAAAATTAAAAAATTAACTTTTTACTCAACTTTTCAAAGTGCCCCGTTTTTAATCAAATTACTTCCTTACTTTTTTTGTTATATATTTAAAGATTTATATATTAAAAAAATCAAAAAATTAATTTTTTTAGTGTAGTTCCCAAAATTAGCCTATAAATACACATCACTTCATCTCACAATCAGGAATTTCAATTCCAGAATCCAACCGAAACCGAGGGAGAAAATCTTGTTGCTTTTTGTGAGAAAATCTCTAGCTCCAAATTTTCTCGAGAAACAATCATTAGTCCTGTTCATCACTTTCCTATGTCGTTGAAAAACTAGCTCTCCCAATAGGCCTTCCCTCTCATCTCTCCAGCCAGAGTTTCGAATTTGTTCTTCAATTCAATCTCCTTCCAAATCCTCTGAAATCGCAACTCCTTAATTTATTTTTTCTCTGGAAACAAGCGGAAACCAACTATGGCTGAACTTTTCTCTGAAGTTCGTCTCCCCCAATCCGTCGAATCGATGCTCCAGAAAATCTGTATCGAGCAATGTAAACCGCCTGCAGATACTTCGGCCCGAAAACAGCTTGAATTGCTCGGCGAAGAGGTGTCCCTTGAGATCCTCAGAAAAATATGCACACAAAAAATTCGCTATAGTTTGAGTGGTTTCATAAGGTGTTTAGCCAAGGACTACGCTACAGCTCCTACTCAACAAGGCATTTATCATTCACCTCATAAACGGAGCTCAGATGATTGCTATAGTCCAGTGAATTCACCAAGTAACTTTTTTTTTTCTTTTTCAATACTGTCTGTTGTGATGGTTGGAGTTTTGCTTACTTTTGGGTTTTCTGAAATGGTTTTTATACTGTTTAGCTCTGTTTGTTTTCTCGGAAAATGAATTTGATGTGGTCCCCACCCAGAATTTATTGTCTACAATTTGGGTAGGAGATTAGGATGAAGCTCCCCAAAAAAATTAAGGGCTTTGTGTGGCTTGCCTTGAATGGCAAGTTACTCTCGAACAGCCTAAGAATCAAGAGAGGTCTTATTGACTCTGCTGAGTGTAGCAGATGTGGTTGTCAGTGAGAAGATATTGATCATATTTTCAGAGACTGCCCCAAAGCAGTCATTATGTGGAGCAGTATGGGTCGTTTGGAGTGGTTGTCTAGGGCTCGTCATATTCCTTTGATAAATTGGTTGGAATCTAATCTTGAAAACAAACTTTCTGCTAATTTGGATCTTACTCTTTTTGCTGCTACTCTTTGGCAAATTTGGAAAGACCTTAACAAAAAAGTTTTTGACAATGTTGATTTCCATTGGTATCAAAGTATTGTGCTTTCAAGTAAATATGCTTCTGATATCAAGGAAGCATTTAGACCTTCTGTTTTGCATCCTAGTATTTGTGATGTGGTTATTAATTGGTGCCCTCCTTGTGTAGGTAGACTAAAGTTGAACATTGGTGGTAGCACAAAAGGAGACCCTGGGGAAGGAGGCTTTGGCGGTCTTATTCGAGATGAGAGAGGCATGTGGCTTGTGGGTTATTATGGGAAGCTTGGTGTTTGTACAAGTTTAGAGGCGGAGCTTTGGGCTATTTACCGAGGCTTAGCTATAGCCTTCGAGAAAGGGTATAAAGATCTCACTATTGAAACGGATTCATCATCTGCAATTGAGTTATTGAAAGAAAGATCCGTGGTCTCTTCTTCGGTTATAAGTTTGGTGGACTCCTCTAAATTCCTTATGCAAAGGTGTGGATATATCATGCAGCATGTTTTGCGTGAAGGGAACAACAGTGCGGATGGCCTTGCGAAGTTAGGAGCTAATCAAGCTGAGCCTCTTGTAGTCTTGGATGAGGCCCCTGTAGAAATTAGAGGGCTTGTAATAGCAGACATGGTTGGGCAGGGCTACCTTATCCTCTATAACCATTTTTTTTTTTAAATTTATGCTGGAAGTGTCAATTGCATGCTTCAAATTACTTTTAGAAAAAAATTAAGGCACACTCAGGACAGGCTATTTTATTTCCAAGAAATTGATCAGGAGTCCCTTTAGCAAGGGTGAGGTTATCTGTTCAGGGTCTGGGGGTGTCCAAGCTTCCGTTTGGGAAGTTGGTTTGAAGGCTATTTTGGCTAAAATAGTCACAAAAAACAAAATAAGTTTTTTAACCCAAGAAGACAAAACATCACATCCAACCCATAATCATTTATTCTTTCTCTCACAAAAAAGTCAAAAAAACCAAAAAAACCAAAAGCCCTTCCCAAATCAGATTTTTTAACCCCAAGCTAAAATAGTCAAAAAAGTCAAAAAGCCAATACACTTCCCAAACGGAGGCCAAGAATTGTCGTCAAAGTGTCTAAAATTGCAAATTTAGTTTCCAAATTATGAACATGGCAAAGAAATGTGGGAAACATTTCTCAGAGCATTGAAAATGGGTCAATTTCAAAGACAGAGAGCTCATCTCTGGAAGTGGTCACACTAATTTATCACTTATTTTGTGTTTGGTTGGGGGATTTGAGGAAGAACTTGGAAAGGTAAATGGAAAATATAAGTGAAATGTGAATAAAATATATTTATATTTCACTTAGTTTCATACATTTTTTCTCTTTCCCTTTTCCTTTCTCTTTCCAAATCTCTTATCAAATCTTCCAACCAAATACAACGTTAATTTTTTCGCTTCTTTTGGTACAAAGAAGGGAAACTCTATTGGGAATTATATTATAAGAATAATGCTTGGGACCCCCTTTTGGGGGTCACCCCCTCACCCCCTTTTGCCACATGGCAGGTGGTGATTGGAGGAGCAGGAAAAAAAAGAAAAAGAAAAAGAAAAGGTAACCAATGAGAGAGAGAGGGGGTCAAAGGGGGTGGGAGGAAAAGGAGGATGAATCGTTACTCATATTATAAAGTGCTTTCTTTGGTTTATCTTCTCTTTTAATTTAAACACCTTTTTAAAATTTTTTATTTTATTTTATATGCAGTCTTGTTGTGGCTCTGATTCAGATTCATTATATATTTGTAACTTTTTGTAACACTTCATCGTTGTGTTTTTGTAACACTGCACCATTACTTTTGATCAGGCTAACATGGAGTCTATAATGACAGAGACGAGGATGATGCAAGTAAGCTGACTGGTTCTTGTCCACATGGAAGTTCACCTTGTGTATCCCTAGCATACCTTTGCAGCTAGTTTTAGTGTAGAATTTCAATATTGATCAGAACTTATTTATTTTATTTTATTTTTTTTTGGGGGGGGGGGGGGGGGGGGAATAAAAAATTAAAAATCTTGAAAAACTAGTTATCGATTTATTCTAATATTTCAATAATATGCAAATACTATTATTACAATTTTAATTTCATAATAATTTGGATACCTGACTTTGAATATTATAGTTTTTAAAAGAACAATACTATACATAATCTAAATTTTTTTTTTTTTTTTTTTTTTTTCCTGGTTGTAACACATATAATTTATATGATTGTACAGCCTGCTATGGAAAGGGAAGTAGAATTGGAGCATCGAGCTCTTGAGTCATCCACAGCCCTAGCCACGATTCAGGTATTGTAGGAACCTGTCATTTTTGTGATTCATTGTCTGAAGTGTTGCTTTATTGTTTCTTATATAAATTAAACATGTTTGTATTTCCAGTACTCTCTTCCATAATCGTATCTTGCTAGAAACTTGTATTACGGTGATATTATGCCTGCTCCATCAATGTGTCAATTGAGAATAATTCAATCTTTATGAACTTGTTCATCCTTAAGCTCTTACCATCAATGGATTGGGACTCTGAGATGTCTATGCATAACTTTCTGTGTCTATAACAACTCAAAGTCAAATGTCGAGAAGTTTATCCTGTTCTTGTATCTAGGATATGCATATTCTCTTGTGATTATTCCTTGTCATCTGTGGTAATTGAAATTGGTAATCTGTTCAGATGCCTAATATCTTTTCAAATTATCTCCTTCATGGTTCTTGTTTTAGTTGCTGGAATATAAGAATTATAAGTGCTTAATGAGCCTGAATATGAATATTGAAAGACATATGTTTATCTGAAATTCCTAATACGCTTAGGTCGGTCTTTTACCTGTTGTGGTATGACTGATATTTGGAAGTTCTTATTATTGCTGTTTTCTCAATTCTAGCACTTAACCATCACTACAACAAAAAAGGTCTATGGTGATGAAAACGCGTGACGAAAAAATATTTAGTCTACAAATATGCATGTCTTAGTGATGAAAATAAGATTTCGCCTCCAATTATATTATTTTCAGAGACGAAAACCAAATTTCATCACCAAATGCTTAAAATCAAATAAAACAATAGGTGACGAAAATTTTATTCGTCTCTAAATTTTATTTTTCGTCAGAAAACAATTTCCCGCCTCTGGAAAATTTGGTGGAAGATTTGGCGCCATTTTGGAGACGAAATTTGTCGTCACCATTGTAAAAAATTTTAGAGAGGAAATAATTTCGTCTCCAAATGTATTATTTTTAGAGAAGAAAACCAAATTTCGTCACCAAATGCTTAAAATCAATAAAAAATACAAGAAATCTACGCTATTGTGACAAAATTTGGTGACGAAATTTTTTTGTCTTAAAATTTAATCGAAAGATGACGAAATATTAATTTTGCCGTTTATTTTAATTTTTCTCAAAAGTATAGGAGACGAAAACAAAATTTCGTGTGCAAAAATGAGGCGACAATTTCATTTGCATTGGCACGAATTATTTTAGCTCATTGGAGACAAACATTTTTGTCACAAAATATAATTTTTTTTTGTGACGAACGTAATTCGTCGCCAATAAATTCCATACCTATTAAACGATGTCGTTGCATATTTCCATTTATTAGGCGACAAATATATTTTTGTCTGCAAAGGATAAGTTATGGAAGACAAAAATATTTCGTCACCAATAAACACTCCATCATGCAGACAATGTCATTTCATCTTTCTATTAAATTGGCGACAAATATATTTTTGTTTCAGAAGAATAAGTTGTGGGAGACGAAAATATTTCGTCACTAATAAATTCTAATTGATTGCGTGACGAATACATTTTTCATCTCATAAAGTTAAGTTGTGGAAGACAGAAATATTTCATCACCAATAAATTCTCCATCCCCACACAACGTTGTTTTTGTATTTTTGTTGATTAGGCAACGAGCATATGAGTTTGAGACGAAAATATTTTCTCATTAATTATTTCTCTTTATTAAAATGCCGTGGTTTTGTGTTTCGAAGCATTGAAACTTTGACCCCAAGAGATACACTCTGATGCTTATCACTCATTTTCATGTACACGGACCTTGAAGTCGTGACCCAAGAAAACACTTTCTACAAACCCTCATTTCTCTCTCACACTTGAGTCTACTCCTCTCTCACAAGTATTGAAGTCGTGACTCAAGAAGACACTTTGTAAATTATTTCTTCTATTTTGCGCTAAAGCCTATCTCTTCTGTCTCACACTTAAGCCCTTCGTGCATGCCAACATTGAAGCTATTATCTAAGAAGGCACCTATGCAAACCCACCATTCTTTCTCACAGTGAAGGCCCCTCCTGCACGCAAACACTTTTTCTCATTGTCTGAACCAACTCTATCCTTTCCGTCTAGAACACCCATTTCAAAAAAAATCGAAGGTCAAAACCTCTCTCCAAAAAAAAAAAAAAAAAAAAAAAAAATTAAATTAATGTAGTTATTTTTTTGTGAGAAAAAATACAGAGAAACAAATAATAAAAAATTTGTAATTTTCAAAATTAATAGAAAACATTACCTTGTTTAGTATGGAGTTTTCAATAATTAATTTTTAAAATTTGGTGATAAAATTTATTTTCGTTTTAGAATGTAACCCAAACATGACCAAATATTATTTTTGTTGTTTCTTTTAATTGTTTTCAAAACTATAGGAGACGAAAAAATTAATTTGTCAGAAAAAAAAGAGGCACCAATTTTTTTTCTTGTTGGCGCCAATTATTTTAGCTCATTGGAGACGAACATTTTTGTCACAAAATTTAAAGTTTTTTGCGACCAAAGGAATTCGTCACCAATAAATTCCAAACTTATTACACGATGTCGTTTCATTTTTTTATTTATTTGGTGACAAATATATTTTTTGTCTGGGAAGGATAAGTTATGGAAGACGAAAAAATTTCATCACCAATAAATCCTTCATGCTCGTTTTATTTTTCTGTTAATTAGGCGACAAATATATTTTTGTCTCGGAAGGATATGTTTTGGGAGACGAAAATATTTCGTTACTAATAAATTCTCCATGTGTCGTGTTGCATTTTGATTGATTGTGCGACGAATATATTTTCGTCTCATAAGGTTAAGTTAAAGGAAACGGAAATATTTCATCACCAATAAATTCTCCATCCCCACACAACATTGTTTTTGTATTTTTGTTGATTAGGCAACGAACATATGAGTTTGAGATGAAAATATTTTCTCACTAATTATTTCTCTTTATTAAAATGTCGTCAGAAACTAAGAGATGCTCTTACCTTAATCACTTACTTTCACACACAGACAAATACTAAAGTCGTGACCCGAAAAGACACCCTCTACAAATCCTCATTTCTGTCTCGCACTTGAGTCTCCTCTCTCACAAATATTGAAGTTGTGACTCGAGAAAACAATCTCTATAAACCATCTCTTCTATTTCGCACTGAAGTTTCTCTATTCTCTCTCACATTTAAGCCGTTTGTGCATGCAAACATTGTTATCTAAGAAAACATTTTGTGCAAAGCTACTATTCTTTCTCACAGTAAACCCCTCTCCACAAAAACAAAAAAATAATAATAATAATTAAATAAGGAAACAAAATACAAGAAATCTAGGCTATTGTGACAAAATTTGGTGACTTAAAATTTAACCCAAAGATGACAAAATATTAATTTTGTCGTTTGTTTTAATTTTTCTCAAACGTATAGGAGACGAAAAAAATTTCGTCTACAAAATTCAGGCGCCAATTTCATTTGCATTGGTGCAAATTATTTTAGCTCATTGGAGACTACAAAATTCAGGCGCCAATTTCATTTGCATTGGTGCAAATTATTTTAGCTCATTGGAGACGAACATTTTTGTCACAATATATATATATTTTTTGCGACGAACGTAATTCGTCACCAATAAATTCCCTACCTATTAAACAATGTCGTTGCATATTTCCATTTATTAGGCGACAAATATATTTTTGTCTAGGAATGATAAGTTATGGAAGACAAAAATATTTCATCACCAATAAACACTCCATCATGCAAACGATGCCGTTTCATCTTTCTATTAAATGGGCGACAAATATATTTTTGTCTTGGAAGAATAAGTTGTGGGAGATGAAAATATTTCGTCACTAATAAATTCTGATTGATTGCGCGATAAATATATTTTTCGTCTTATAAGGTTATGTTGTGGAAGACAAAAATATTTCGTCACAAATAATAAATTTTTTGTTCTTGTATTTAAGGAGACAAAAATGTTTTATCACTAATTATTTCTCTTTATTAAAATGCTATGGTTTTGTGTTTCAGAGCACTGAAACCGTCACCCCAAGAGACACACTCTAACCCTTATCACTCATTTTCATGTGCACGGACACTCAAGTCGCAACCCAAAAAGACACTTCCTAGAAACCCTCATTTCTCTCTCACACTTGAGCCTACTTCTCTCTCACAAGTATTGAAGTCGTGAAGCAAGAAGACACTCTGTAAACCATTTCTTTTATTTTCGCACTAAAACCCCTCTCATATGTCTCACACTTAAGCCCTTCATGCATGTCAGTATTGAAAGCTATTATCCAAGAAGGCACCCTATGCAAAACCGACTATTCTTTCTCATAGTGAAGGTGCCCCTTGCATAAGCACTTTTTCTCATTGTCTAAACCAATTCTACCATTTCCATCTAGAACACACATTTTAGAAAAATCGCAGGTCAAAACCCCCCTCCACGAAAAAAAAAAGATAATTAATGTAGCTATTTTTTTTATAGATATTTATATTTGTTTTAATTTTTTTTAATATATAAATTATGTTTTTTAAGATTTTTTTATAAAAATAATTTAACAATCTTATCACTAACCATAGCGCATGAGAGAAGTTGAAAAGGGTATTGCAGTAACTATACACAGATTGTATCTATAATTATTTGTATGAGGGGATT